ATAAGAACGAATTATTTATCAAAAAGTAATCAAGAACTATCACCTAGAGGGTATCCTGCGACACACTTAGGCTCAAGCTGTAAGAGAAAATTCCATTTAGTAGAGAATTATTGAAAAATTACCTTGACGTTTCGATAGCTATTTTCTGCTATCGTTATCAAAAGAACCTAAATGAACTTAAAAAAGAGTATATTAATAAATTGTGTAACAATAGTAGGATAATACAATATATGAAAATTCGTTCTGATAATTCAAATAATAATTTGAAATAAATAATAAAATAATTTGCACAGACGAATTATCAGAACGAATTTTCATATATTGTATTATCCTACTATTGTTACACAATTTATTAATATACTCTTTTTTAGGTTCATTTAAGTTCTTTTGATAACGATAGCAGAAAATAGCTATCGAAACGTCAAGGTAATTTTTCAAATTAATTTCTCTACTAATTGGAATTTTCTGTTACAGCTTGAGCCTAAGTGTGTCGCAGGATACCCTCTAGGTGATAGTTCTTGATTACTTTTTGATAAATAATTCGTTCTTATTGCGAAATAGGAGGACTATTTATCAATCTGTAATAAAAGACGTGAAAGACAAAAATTTTTGGGCGAAATACCCAAAAAAGAAGTTTGTAAAAAAATGAATCCGCCTCAACAATATAGAACTTATTTCCAACTGATGTTGATTTAAATTAAAAATTTGAGTGTAAAATCTGACTAGATTTGGATCAATATTAGCGTGAAATATATATCTAATTGCTTATTAATCCCTGAAATAAAAACTTATAAAATAGCATAAAAATGTAGGCCTAAAAATGCTGCTGGGCTTCAAATGGGCTCAAAATCAAAATTTCTGTCGAATAGCAAAAAGGAAACAAGTCGGGAGTTCTAGGTATTTAAGTGCGTGCGTAAATTTAAAAATTATTTAAAAGTTGGTAGGAAAAACTTTTCTCTACCCTCTACCCTCAATGTTCAAAAACAATTTTTCAAACAACAATCAAAAAGTTTGCAATTTAGACGAACACCTTTAACAAGAACTGCACAGCGTTTTACAATTGGTTTCCTTATTAGGGCTTTTGCTATTTGAACTACAGCGTGTTACATTTAAAGGTAGCATTTGTACTGGCTGCTCTGTACAAATCTTATCTCAAAAACTACAGCTTCCAATCACCATCAATTTCCACTTCAAATCCTGGTACTAAATGAAAGTCTTACTCAATCTGCAAAGTGTAGGTCGATGCAACAACCAAGGCTTCAACTAAGTAAATGGTCAAGATTTCTGTTGTTTCATTATACGTATTATTAGCGGCCGAGATGCTCCCTCCAGCGCTATCATTTAGAAGAATACTTGTGGCGTACACTCTATGATGCAAATTTATTTCCGATGTGGTAGTGTTTGCTGTGAACTGTATGGAAACACTACCTAAAAATTGGAAAAAAACTATTGTGATAGAGAGCATGAAATATTCGAATGTGTACCTGTAAAGTTGGCGCTTTGGGCGCTAAAAGCCGCTTCAGGGATCACCAGATCGACTTCATATCGGAAAGGAATCAGAGTTTCCGGAAGTCGATATCCTTGAGACTTTACCAAGTTGAACGCGAAGCAGAAGAACAAGCTCCAGAGGTGAGATGGCTTCATTTTGTATGGCTGATTATGTTATATTAGATAATAATTTACCGGAATTCTTTGAATTTACCATCTGAAACTTACCTGGCCACCACTAAAGCTGATAAAGAAATTTTTTTCCACATATTTATAAAGTACGCTATCTTATCAGAAAAGTAAGCGTTTAAAATCTCTCAGTCTGTTTAATCCCATATAGAGCGAGTTTTTGTAATAATCTGATTTAGATTATTATTATTTATTGCGTGTGGCGTTAATTGCTGAGGCCAGAATCAAGGAAACGTCGTCGAAAASTATTGTCTGATTTTTAAAACCAACATAAACGCTAAGTACAACTAATTTTTATTAKCGWCATTGAGAYCTRTAAGCTCTACTATCAATGGAACATTCGTTACTTTATTAGCCGAAACAATATTGCGACAGTGCTTAGTTTGATGGGAAATGAAAAAATGTAATTYTTCGATTGTTTTTCTGAATCMCTCGTASGTTTACTACTTTTTTATTTTTTTTTATTTTTGGAGCTGTTGAAATAGATCATACATTGTACAATCAWGCAATAGAATTCGCCGYAGCTTTTCCTTTTAAATATTTGTTGAAAGTTTCWTGTTTAGACCAAGTATGAATTTATCTTCAATGGCGTAAAATCTTCAATTTGGTCATCATAAGTTCGTGTAGTTTAACCCGGCTAAGTGCATGARGATTAATAAATAATCGATAAAACGACTTGATTAAACGATGATTACATCAGAGCATCGATTTGCGATAATTAGGSACTTGTTATAGCTGTAGAAATTTCTGTGTGGGCTGATTACTGTGAAGTGGAATGAAATCCTTTAAGTTAATCATCAGGTTAATACCGCTTAAATTTCCAAGTCATGGGATTTCATCTGAGCTTCCACGTAGAAAAAACAGTGGATTAGGGATTTTACAGTAAGGCGTCTAGAATATTAATGAATTAACCTTCATTCAGTTCAGGTGCTCGCAGCATTGAAAACAAGCTTCAAAGTCCATAATTTTTGTAGAATTCGTTTGTCGAGAGTAGACAGTCTTTCACTGTTTATTCCAATGAAGCACTAAAAATTCGAGAAGCCGAAACTAATTTAAAATTTACCAGCAGAAAATGGAAATGGGATGGGCATTAAAGAATGAACCCAAAATGGTAGGGAGAATGGGGGACTTTCCGGTAGAACATTTTTAAAACCTTCCTGTTAGGTCTTTTGACCCAAAACACCAGTATTGGGCGTTAGTTATGAGTAGGTTTTATATATGACAAAGCTTCGCATTAGTCTAGATTCTTCTTAAATGGTAAATCGAGAAAAAGAATTTGGTTGCTTTGATCTTTTTTAATAGTGAAGTATTTGGTTGATTTTTACAAAGGCGATAAAAATTAATCCAGCTTTTGATCCTTCACCAACTGCTCTGATGTAACGATTCATTGAACTCTTCTCCATTCTCACCATTTTTCAACTATTCAGTTCCGTTTCTTGCGGTTGGTTAAAGGAACAATAAATAAACTGAATCAAAACTTCAGGTTTAATCATTAACTTATCATTTATTCTTCAGTAGTCTAAGATTATCTTTTTGAACCCCCCCACGGATTATTCACAGTCCAAAGTACACACTGTTGATCAGTCCAATTACCACCAAACCAACCAGACCGGTTCTACTCAAAGTGGTGGCACTGTCAACTTCAGCAGAATCATCTCCCTCAACCTCTTCTTCATCATCTCCATTTTCTTCATCATTGCCATCAGGAGCAGCTGTTGTGGTAGTAGTGGTGCTGGTGGTACTGGGGGTGCTGGTGGTGTCAAGCCCAAAGTATTCGTGAAGCGAAGCTCTGTGCGCTTCAATGATGGCCTGATTCTCATTGGCTGTATTCAAAGCGGTTTGGATTGGTGCGGCCAGTGTGCTGTCTGTGCCCACTGTGGCCAAGAGGGCTTCCAGCTGGGAAAGTTCGTTATTATCATCACGTTTACAGCTTTCGAAGAAAAGTTACCTTTTCAATTTGGGAGGTCTTGGTGATGTATGAGGATAGTCCAGTTAGCACGCTGCCTGCATTGGAATATCTGGAAAATCAAAGTGTTTTTCTTGGTGTTTTTAACCGAACGTAGATGCGTACACTTCCAGAATAGCAGCATAGTTGTCGCTGAAAAAGTCCAGGACTGTGTCCAGCCCAACTTCACCAGCAACATAAATAGTGGAGAAAACTGATCCGTACAAGGAGGAAGTGATCACGTCGTCATTTTCCAGTACTTTGGATAAGAATCTGCAAGACATTGAGTACCAAATGGGTATTGATTTACTTTGATTCCAGTACTAACGCTTTAAGGACATCAGTATCATTGGCGCAGCCCAACGCCGTCCAAATGTAGCTGGAATCTCCAGAAAGAGCGCTGTCTTGGTACTTTTCATAGAGGAACTGCCAGTCGCCGGTGATGTTGTCGCTGTATCTTATTGCGTTGCAATAGACCAGAGATCGAATGTTGATATTTGGCCTGGAATTAGCAAAGTTTGTTAAAAAACTGGTGAATTTCTCGGGCTTTAGGCCCTAAAATACCGCAAAAGTCTTCACCAGGACCTTTGAGGTTTTACATTAATATTATCAGTTCTTTTAAAATAAGTCTCTTAAATGCCTGTACGATTTTACTTAACAAACATCAACCATAAATCTGGGTGAAATTTGTATTTAAAACTTGAGTTGCGCACCTGGAAGATAAATCAGAAGAACTCTTGTAGGTTCTAAACAGGGTTTTGGCAGCATTTGTGCAGGTAGTGTGTCCATATTTGCAAGCGTAGGTGTTGATTAGAATGGATGTTAGAGTGTTAACGTGTTGCGACTCGTCCAGTTCATCCAGTGCATATGTGGACACGGCAGTCTCCAGCAACGACAAGAGATGTGACTGAAGAAATCCAATAAATTGCATACATTCACTCTGTTCTTGGTAAAAGTCTTCTTACCGTCAGTCTGGCTCCTAGGAGTTGACTAGTGCCAGTCCGTTGCAGTAAATAGTTGAAAAGCGTGGCTGCTGGATACCAGGTGAAATATTCCGTTTCGTTTTCCAGAAACTCCACGTTGCTTAGGACTTGTCCGAATGTTAAATAGCCGGCCCTGGCAAGGGCGTAGGAGTCATCCACCCATTGGGCTCTGTTGGTCACGTGGATGCCCGAGAAATTGTCCTGCTTGAGAGCGGAAGCCAAATTTTCTCGGAGGGTGCTATCGTAGTTTACGCGGTAAAATCCTGGATAAAAGGTTTTATGTGGTTACCAGGTCGGTTTTCCAAAAATTGCTTCCTGACCAATCCTTTTGCAAGCGCGCGTAATCATTCGCTGCAAATGCGCGCTTTTCTGTCAAAGAATCGTCACTACGAATCCGCAATAAATAAGAACTGGAGAGTTTGACTAAATATAGTGGAATATTGAACCTCAGCAGGGATTTTTTTTCTTGAATTGACATCAGCTCCGGATATTTTTCAATCGTTTAATCGCGGGTCTAAAAAT